CTCACCGCCGCCCACGTCCACAAGCCCGGGCGCCCGAGGGGGGGCGCGGTAGGACTCCTTTTCGCTCCCCTACCCCGCGCAGCCTCCCGGCACTTGAAGCTGCGAGTCACCGAAGCCCCGGACACCCGTTAAGCAATAAAGCGAATGAGGTGGGCAGAGAGGGGTCTCGGGAGAAACGCGAGAGTCCCGTTTGGAACCGGCCCGCGGCAGGGCCAGACCTCCCCGGCCGATTCCGCTGCGGGTCACACCCTAGCTAAGCCGGAGATTGTGCGCTTTCAGAAAAAGAGTTGGGGTTTCCGCAAGCCTTTGCCTCTCCCTAGTGGTGATGCTGGCAGCCGAGAAAAGAGGTCAAACCCATTGCTACAGGTTTCTCAACTGAGGCCAGGGGTAAAGTGGGGCTTGTCTGAAAAGATTGGGCCACTAAGTGTGAAGAACCTAGGCCCTGGTCCCCTTGAGCATTTTCCTCCAGAATGCACATAGACAGAAGACAGCCCCAGCTCTTCGTGGTATGTGGTCCCTCTCCCCAAATGAGTAAGAAAAACTGTCTGGGCTTCTGAGACTCAGCTCTAAAACCAATCCCTTTGCCTAGACTGAAATCAGTGTTGCAGCTGATTGGGAGGGAGGGGCCATTCCTGGGCTTGCCCCAGTCTGTAGAAAGACCTGAATCTAACTTTCAAAGTTAGAGGCCACCCCAAGAGGGAGTCACAAGTACAGCTTTTAGCATGTGTCCTTGGAGAAAGGGGTGGGAGTGGGGATGCTGAGGGAAAAAAAAGCAGTCACCAACACCCAAATCCCACAAGCCTGCCCAGCGTGTTTTGATTGGAGGCTGTCAGAGCGATGGCGACAGAGAATCTAGCCCTTCAGTCCTACTCATGTGTGACCCAAACTACACATCCCCATCCAAGAAAGGCTGAGTTCTTCTCTGGCAACCGTGGGATGGTAAAATGGAGCTGGAAGCCAGATTCCTGTCCTAGGGAGATCCTGACCCTAGGGTGGGGTGACCATTCCCTGCCCTGGCATTCTCTGCTAGCTGATTATCTCTTCATCCCTTCTCTTCCTCTGCACTTCCTCCTCTTCCCTCAGCTTTACCTCTTCTTAGTGGTTCTGTTCAACAAACGGTTGTTTAGTACCCATTCTCTGCCAGGGACTGTGGTTAAGTGCTAAGATAAAGAAAACATAAGGTGAGCCTGCCCAATGGTAAGAGAAGTGATGAGTGATTTTCACATAGCACACTTATGTTGCATGACAAAGGTGGGCCAAGTTTTCTGAAAGTAGACAGGCACCCAGCTCAGCTCTTGGCAGGGAGAAGGATGGATGTCAAAGGCAGCTTTCTCAGGAAAGTAACAAACAGCATCTTGGAGAATAATTAAGAGTTAATAAGGAACAGCAAGGGAAGAATATTTTCTGCAGAGGGAGCTTGAAAAGAGGAAGCTATGAAGTGGGGAAGGTATGTGATCTAGAGATACAGGTAAGCAAAAACCCTGAGGAAGTCTTCCAGGTAAGACCAGCCAAAGGGTGTTGAATCCCTTGCCAAAGAACTTGAATTTATGCAGCAATTAATGGGAAAATACTGACGGCTTTTGATTAGGCAAAGACACTGTCAGAATTACATGTTTGCTGAATTGCTAAGTAAAGAGTCAGGAGCTGCTTAGAGTGGTGTGTGCCTGTAATCCCAGCACTCTGGGGGCTGAGACGGAGAATTGAAAATTCAAATTTAGCCTGGGCAATTCAGTAAGACCATGTCTCAAAGAATAATAATAATTATTTTAGAAAAAGGCTTGGAATGTAGTTCAGTGTGAAGGCCCTGGGTTCAATCCCCATTACTGTAGGAGAGACAGAGACTTGGGGCAGAGAGCATGAAAATAAGAGAAGGAGGTAGATGACTGGTAGTTGGCGCTTACAGTGGAGGGGGAAGTCAGGGTCAAAGATTGGGTTCAGGATAGCAGCCTTAGCACAGGTCACGATGAAGCACCTGTGTCAGACTTGAGTGGAGCTGTCCAGCACAAATGTTGAAAATTTAGCAGAGAAGACAGGCATATACATTTTAAATCATGACATATTTGCAGACAGCATTCCTACACCTTTTGTTTGTTTGTTTGTTCATTAAGTTTGTTGGTCCACCCCACTCCAGAAAGAATGGCTGCTATCAAAAAAATCAGCCAATAACAAATGCTGGTGGGGCCATGGGGAGAAAGGAACCCTTCTCCATTGTTGGTGGGAGTGCAGACTGGTGTAACCACTGTGGAAATCAGTGTGGATATTCCTTAAAAAACTAGGATGAGAAGTACCATTTGTCCCAGCTATTCCCCTGCTGGGTATCTTCCCAAAAGAATTAAAAGCATCATACCACAGCGACATATGTGCACCTGTGTTTATAGTGGCACAGTTTGTAATAGCTAAATCTTGGAAACAGCCCAAATGCCCACCTTTTAAATCTTCATACAAAGGGCCAGGGATTTAGCTCAGTGATTCTGCCGCCTGCCTCACTAAGTGCAAGGACCTGAGCTCGTTCCCTGGTACCAAACAAACAAACAAAAAACAAATAAATCTTCATACTATGTACAGTTTCTAAGCCACTCCCATCCCATTCTCTCCCCTGAGTTTTCACTTCACTGGCATCATTCTGGAATTTGTTTTTCCATACCTGACAATAATAGAAGAAATAAGTCTTTCTTACATGGAACACTAATCAGATTTGATCTGTGGTTCTGAGTAACAGAAATTGATTTCTTAGATTGCCCATCCTGACATGTAAAAAAATGTGTTCTTAATTCTCCTGCTTATAAATGGTGGCATCTGGAGGCCCACAGAATAGTATCTCAGGATTATTTCTAATAACCCACACTGCACAGCACCATATTTTTATTAATTTTTCTGCCCTCCTGCTTTGCCTTTGAAGTTAACCAAGTCATACGCCTAGCACCATACCTTCTTCTCTTTTTCCTTTTTTGTTTCAAAATCTGAATTGTTGATAGTATTGAAGCATCTTTCCTTTGAGGGTTTGACTCATTACAAAGTACCAGGGGAGAATCATCTTTTCCAACATATACACTAATTTCGGACAGCCCTGAAATTCTGGAAACAGAGTCTCAACTCCTAGCTCTAAGAAGAAGATCCCCTGAATAAACCCTGATAATCCGTTACCCTTACCAAGGATTGGTTAAGAATGTCCATGTGATCTAGTTTTTACCAATACTAAATAAGAGAAGTCCATTTGGAAATTTTTAGGAAAATTTCCTTGCTCTAACAAATAGTGATACTTCCCCTTCTTCTTTTGAATATTTTTTTTCTCTGGGTGTTATGACCTGGGAGCATAGGCAGGGTGGAGGGAGGAGTGGCTGCAGATTAAAACTGATACTTTAATAGGCATTTACACTGTTTACTTAGAATCCCTGCCTTGCAAACAGGTAATAGAATTGTAATTTCTGGCCCACTTGTGAATAGGAAGAAAAAGCGACTAGTACTTTTCAATGAGTAGCAAAAATTAAGAGGAGAAACTGTGTTGTTTCTGAAGCAGAGCGGCTAATTACTGCTACCAGACACTCTAGAGTTCTCATTCCCTTCCAGCATGGTGGATTCAACAGTGTTCTGAATGGGAGGGCCTTGGTCCACATGAATCCTTAACTGACTACAATGAGGAATGATCTAGTATTCCACCACGGGCATGTAGTGTGGATGGAATGTACGTATACCTTGGTTTGTTTGTTTGTTTGTTTGTTTGTTTTTTGGGAGGAGTACCGGGGATT